TTTTTTTTTAAGTAATCTGTACGCCCAACATGGGGCTCGAGATCAGGAGTTGCACACTCTATACTGACTGAGCCAGCCAGGTGCCCTAGCACCAAATTTCTTATTTTAATTATCATTTAATATTTATGATCATGTTATCCTGGACAGAAAGTTCAGAGCAAAAACAAAAAATCCTTAGAAACAATGAATTTCTAGGTTACAGCTAAAAATGTCTCCTGTCTCATTAACTCACTGTTCTTGCACCGTACTTACAATATTTGCTATGCTTTTGTATTAAATACTTAAATTAGACTTTATAAAAATCTTAAGACCAAGCCTTCAGATGCATATTGCTATCCCACAGTCCACCTCTGGAGTATCAAAGGTTCGCAATCCTAGGCTTGAACAATGGATCACCGTCAGCCAGGCCAGCCTACAAACTGCCATGAACTTTTCTAATATGAGATGGAATCACTGCCAAGCATTTGAAATATGCAGTTGTGTTTTAATAATAATTTATGTATATTTAGGTGTATATAATGCTTTGTGGGACATTGTAAGAATTTATTTTTAAAGGTCAGGATCATTTGTAACTTTTTTTTTAAAATAGTTCAGTGCATTGTTGGCTCCTTTGGACAGTTATTGATGAGAAATTGGTGAATGTTAGATCTTGGGTTCTACAGAACTATTGTAGTATTGTCTCTTGGTTCTCTTTAGAAAGGAGGAAATTTTTTTTTTTTTAAAGATTTTATTTATCCATTTGCCAGAGAGACACACAGAGAGAGGGAACACAAGCAGGGGGAGTGGGAGAAGAAGAAGCAGGCTTCCCGCTGAGCAAGGGAATGTGGGGCTTGATCCTACAACCCTGGGATCAGACCTGAGCCAAAGGCAGATGCTTAACAACTGAGCCACCCAGGTGCCCCGAAAGGAGGAAATTTGTTAACCAGATATTTGGGTTTTTTTCCCACAGAGAGTCATGTGAACTTCTGAAAGTACATGCCTTTAGATACTGTGAAGCCGTTGTTTTCCATTTAACCAAGTATCTACTTAAATTGTTGACTGGTGTCCTAAAGAATTTATTTTGATGGTTCTCTTCATTCATGAGTATATATGTATGCACATATACTATCAAGACTGCCAATGCCTTTACTGAAAATGGCTATAGAATAGGAACTAGCTGTGTTTTGAATCTTCACTTCAAAGATAAAGAACCCATAAGCTCTCCCCTGTGCCAAAAGCAAGATGTACAATGTTTACAAATGTCTGGAATTTTGCACTGCCGTAGGTATGCCGAGGTTACTTTGCTGGAATCTTCCAGATGGTGATTAGTGGAGTTGTAGTTTAGCATATGAGGAGAG